TATCAAAATAATTAATGGAAAGCGGATACGTAATAGTGGAAATATAAAATAAATCAATAAAGTAAATAAATAACTAAAGTAAATAAAGTAAAATAAATAAAGTAAAATTTACTTCGTAAATAAAGGAATAAATGACTGATAAATGGCTTACAATTTAAGGGGGTTAATTTTTAGTTTTTTAATTAAATAAATGCTTAAAGTTTGGAAGCTATATCTGGGCATATTGTTTTTGTACTTTGAAGCAACAATCAACTTTCTCTTTGTCAAATGATTCCTTATTTTCTACTCTGACTTTCCCCTGCTCTTTCTCCAGCCCAGCCCAAGCTCGAGCCCAAACCAGGACACACTTTATCCATTTGATAATTTAATTATTCTGGAATTTGGTATTATTTGATTCCGGCTTATTGCCGGTTAAATCACAGACAGAACAGAGCCCAAAAAGCAACTCCATCAGTGGCCAAACGGTCTGGGAGCAGGACCTACCCCACTAGCAGAATGGCTGGCTCTGCTGCTTGAGGGGCACACACAAAGCGGCAGCCACGGAACCACACAGCCACCCCCCCACTCATCCCACATAAGCCGCTGAGCACTGGCTGAGTGCTTAGGGGGCATGCCACATTAGGCAAATATGTAAATAACTTTTAAGGAATTAAGCCCACGCACACAGGGAAGAGCAAGACACAGAAAGAAAGAGAGAGAGAGAGAGATAGAGAAGGAGAAGGAGAGTGTGAGTGTTGAGATGGCAACAGGCAGATATAAAGACAGGAATAGACGTTGCTTGGGAGGATTCCAAGTTTCCTGCTTATCAGCTGATGAACAAGGCCTACAATGCAATCACTTATACGCCATGTTGCACCACCGTTGGCCTGTGTCCTGTGTCCCGTGTCCCTTGTCCCGTGTCTGCGTTTGTTCCGACTACAAAATGGAACATGCAACAGGGGGAAAGGCTAAACGGAAATGAATATGCCACATCTCTGCACTGAGAGAAAGAACACCAAATGAGACTGAAGAGGTACTTTCCTCTGGGATAAGCTATTCTTCTTTTCGTCACTCATATTTCTCTCAGTGTTTGCGCCAGTGGGAAAACATTAATTACACACACGTTTGCCATGGGGTCCAGAGGAGCAGATGAGAACAGGACCGAAGCAGACAGGTGTAGAGCAGCAGCAGGAGAAGCAGCAGGAGTACGAGTAGCAGAGGACACCAGAACAGGACGAGGACATGGCAGAACAGGAGCGAAACATAAGGCAGACCAGAAGGCAAACCGCAAGCGCGTCATTACCAAACGGGGACTTCCCTTGTTTTACAGCAGGATTGCCACAGGAGCGATGATGCCAGAAGGCAGTGTAAAGAATTGTGGGGCTGCCACAGCAAATAAAGGGACTGACACAGGGAAGAGGCAGAGGCAGAGGCAGTGGCAGAGTGTGGGACAGAGTGTGGGACAGAGTGTGTGGATGGGATGAGGGGCAAATTGGAAATCATTTCGTTGCTTGCCACGTGAACTGTATGTGCCTCAACGTGGCGGCTTTTCACTGTATTTTATCTGCTCCAATTGCAGCGCAGTGGGATAGCAAAAGGGGCTCACAGACAGAGAGGGAAGGCAGAGGCAGAGCCGAGAGCCGAGTGCATATTTACTGTTACTTCGCCATTTATTGCAAGTGGGGATTACAAAAGGAGGGCGTGGCGTAGCAACGATGTTGCTGCTGTTGTTCCTTCGTGTTGTTGCTGTCTGCCGCCTGGAAGGTAATTCTGAATATTCGAATTTCGAACCCACACGGCCCCCCACAGCATGGAAAGAAGGGAAATGGGTGTACAAAGCGAACAAGAGGTGGGGGGGTGTAGAGCGAAAGGGATCCAAAGCTAAAAGCTGATGTTCCGCCTCTTCTTCCTTCATTCTCCTTTGCATTTGCTTCTGCAACGCCGCCTGCTGATACTCTTCCAGCATCCTCCCCTCCGCCGCCTGCACCACCACCTTAGCTCTTCTTCCACCATCATCACTGCCATTCCGGCTTCTCCCTTCCCACTCTTCTTGCCATCATCGTCACCGCCTGCCCGCTCCTGTTTCGGTACGAATGATAAACAATAATAGCAGACAACAATGAAGGACGATGGCCCAGAAGAGGATTACAGGACACTCACACACAGAGCGAGAGACAGAGAGCGAGAGACAGAGAGCGAGAGACAGAGAGCGAGAGACAGAGACAGAGCGGGAGAGACAGAGAGCTAGAGACAGAGAGTGAGAACGAGGGGCAGACAGAGAAAGAATGCAAGAGTAAGAGAGGGAAAGACAGAAGCAAGAGAAGTGGAAAAGGGAAAGGGAAAAGCTAAAAGCTGAAGCATCGGACGAGTATGCGACTAAGTGTTTTGCAACGGAAATGCCGAGCTATCATGCAAAAAGCCACTGTCAGATTAACGAACCATGGCCAAAACAGATAGGAAGAGAACGGAGAGACGGCAGGCAGGCCGGCAGGCAGGCAGAGAAAGGAAAAGAGAGAACGGAAAGGACAGGCACAGGCACAGGCACAGGGACAGAGCAACGTTGTAGCTATGCCAGAAGGTAAATGGCATCAGGAGAGATCCGCCAGTCAGCGCACGTGACGCTGCGACAGTCCATGACCAAGTGCTGATTTTTTATCAGTGGACAGAATGGGACAAAAAGGGAGTCACAGCGATGAAGGAGAAAGCAGGACAACAAACACACAGAGCAAAGAAAAAAACGTGCTAAAAAAATTCGACGAAAACTGACAAAAAGGTTATTGACATTGTTGTTGCTTTCGCCGCCAGCTGTCATTCTGTTTTTCTGCCATTCAAAACAGAATTTTCAGTGCGAATATTGAATAAAAATAGCAAGAGAAATGAAAGACAATTGGGCAAGGAGCCCCTTAAATACCCCAAAATTGGGCTTAAATAAAATAAAATAGAAGTTCAATTTTGTTGAGTTTCCAACCAAAATGTGAAAGAGTACTCTGCAAACAATTATTAGACACTTGACTGGCTCCATTCTTAGCTTAAAACTGAAGCAGATATTAAATGGGAACCCTAAATATCTACAAGCACCTCAAGTATATCATATAACAGAGAATCCCGCCACCCATCTAAAGCTTCCCCCGGCCACTCCATGCCACTCATCACTCAGACACAGGGTACACAGCACAGCACACACTGTGAACAGTCGCCCGAAACCGCTTGAAAAGTATTGCATACTTGGAGGCGCCTCCTTCAGCATATACTTGCAACAAAATGCTGCACAGAGTGGCAGAGAGGGGTGGCGGTGGCGGTGGGTCTAAACAAAAGCAAAGTCAAGCGTAACGTAACAGAAAACTGCGCAACTTGTGAAGAGGTGGAAATGCTTTTTAAGTATTAATTTGCGCAAACACTCGACGCAACAGAAAAGCAAAAAAACAGCAAAAACGAAACAGAGTGGGAAAGAGAAAGAGTGAAAAAAAAGGACAAAAGAGGACCAAAAAAAAAAACAAGTTAATAAAGCAGCACTGCAAGTGTAGCAGCAGGCAGCAGGCACCCCCACTAAACCCCCTTACCACCCACCCAAACCCAACCCAATGCAATGGGGCAAACTGCTCTTCGCCACATTTTGTGCTGGTCGCCGGTCGCCGGTCGTTTGCTGGTCGACATTCTCCTTTGGCCAATGTCTCACTAATTGTTCGGAACATGGCCAAAACACCTAGGACACCCGCAGAACACCTACGTTAAAAGGTTTAACCCTCCCCGCCCCCACCCACCGAACAGAGCTCTCTTCCCTTCCTGCATTTCATTGCATTTTCCTCGGACTTTCTGTCATCGTTGCTGCCAGTCTTTCAATCATCGTTGCTGCCTGCTCTTTCGCTCTTTGTTTGACCCACCCTTTCCCTCCTTGTTTTTCCCCAATCTCCCCTCACTTCCTCTCATAGTTTCTCCCACTCCTTGGGCACTCTCTCTCTCTCTCAAGTGCATTTTAGCTGTTTTGCGTTAATTGAAAACTTTTTTTGCCGAGCAGATATTCAGTATTTTTCACAGCATGGCAAAAACAAACTGAATTGGAAAAGTTTTCTAGTTTTCCACACTACCAAAAGCAGTGAGAGAGAGAGTGGGAGTGGCAGTGGGTGTGGCAGTGGCAGTGGCAGTGGGAGTAAAGTTCTCCTAAGTAGAAGTTCAACTCTAGAGTTTTTAACGCTTTGCCGCCTTTCATTTGTTCATACTTTCCCCTCAGCTTAAAGTCCGCACCCAAAAAAAAAAAAAACAAGTAACCAAATACCCAAGTTCCAGTACCAGGGACTCAAGGACTTGGTACCCCGAACTCCGTCTCGAGTTTGTTTGTTTTTCCTCACAAAAACTTGGTGGCCAATTAGTGGGCAGCAGCGGGGCCCGGGACAGGGGCAACTAAAGATGCGACTCTAACTGGCAAACGGCAGATGGTGTTGTGCCTCTGGGCTAAATCGAAAATCCACTTTAAGCTCTTTTTCGGGGTTGCTTTTGGAGCGAAATTGTCAAAGAATGAACCAAGGTCCAAGGTGTTTTTGTGTGTGTTTTTTAATGCGGAAATATGAATCCCAAAAGAAGGAAATCCCTGAGAGCCATTAGAGAGCCATCCCAAAGGACACACCACAGGAAGTCCCAAAAATTGACTTAAGCTCCAGCTCGCAGAGCAGTTGAATGGACAAACTTACGATTGAAGAAACAGAACCGCGAGAGTTTTATTAAAGTTGTTGGCAAGTTTAATTAAAGTTAAGCTTTTCGGTTCTTTTATGAATACTTTGATCTGTCGTTGGGAGCTCTTAATTGTCTACAAACTTCCCTAAAACGAACTATTTATGTATACAATAGAAGGAGATCTATTGTATTATGTTTCTATGGAATAAAGTTGAGGGAAACCTTCAGAGATTTATTTTCTACAAGGCTCAAAAATATATAAATTTAAGCAATTTAAGGCTCTGTGTGGTGCCTCATTTTGCATTTTAAATATTCATCTTAATTGTGAAATATTAAACTGAAATGCTACTCACGATTTCCCTTTGCAGCTTGGCAATGTTGAAGTTCGCTTGGGCCAGCCGCACACTCAGCGTGGCCACATCACTCGTCAGCTGGGCCCGTTCGCTGGCATTCCTGTCCACCAGCTTCAGCATCTTGTCCTCAAGACTCTGATTGACCTTCTGGACACGCTTGTGGGACTCGTAAAGGCGATCGTACTTATCCTGCCACGCTATCACGCTGTCCTCGAGCTCCACCTGGCGTTCCGTCTCCCGCAGACAGGCGGATTCCAGTGCGTAAAGCTGTGACTGTTTCTCGATCAATGCCTGTTGCAGTTGTTCAATTTCCGTCGTCACTGCTGTGGGGATAGCGCCGGATAATGCCACTGCTGTGGCTGTGGCTGTGGCGGTGGCGGAGGCAGGAGGCGTGGATGACACCACCGATGCTGTGGGTGCCGCCTCTGATGCTGCTGTGGCAGCCTGCAGTTGAGTGGAGAGACAGAGAACAGACACACACACAAAATGAAATTATGAGCAGAAAATATTTTGTAATTAATTTTACTTCCGTCCGGACGAGTGTGCTGGCTGGCGCTGAGTTGGGTTCTTGTGTGTGTGTGTGCACTTTTGTGTGGGTTCGTTCGACGCAAATGCCGGACAGTCAGACGGACAGACGGACGGACGGACGAGCTGGACGCAAAGTGTCACACAGTGTTTCGGCTGTGGCTGCTGCAAAAACGCTACTGAAAGCACGCCCTGGCATGCCCTGAGGGGGTAGACAGCATCAGCATCGGCATTGTACGTGTGTATTACAAGCGTATCTCTTTTTTTCCCTCCCTACCTCTCTATCTCTTTCCTCCTGTGCTGTGCCGTCCATCGGTTTTCGGTTTTCGGTTGGGTTTTGTTTTAAATAACATTTCAAAAAGCTTTGAGCTCTGGGAGCGGAGCGCTCTGTACATTTCATGTCATAAAAATGCACGTCATGCTCATAAATTGGTTGGACGTTAGCGGGGGCGAGCGAGGCAGCCGGGGAATACGTGTCCAAGCCGTACAGCATCTGCCTGCAGATAAGACAATGCATTCGGCCAGAGCGACGCCAGCAATGCCCTAACTTTAGCATGGAGCGATTAGCAAGGCAATGGGAATGTTCCCCGCAGTTGTTAGAGCAGGGTGCATGAGAAAGCCACTAAGCAAAGGATGAAAAAGTAGAGAGGAGAGCACCACCCAGGTAGAAAGAGAGTGGCGAAGAGCGATCTGCTAGAGCGAAGCGTGCAATGCCCTAACTTTAACATTGAGGCATAGGCTTGTGTGCTTGATAATACCTGCAATTATCAGGGAAGGGTGCATTGGGATCTAGGGCTCGCTTTCTGTCAGCAACTGATAAGCAGAGGCTGTAAATGTATACACAGCAAGAGGACAGCCATATGAAAAGACAACTCAAGCAGAGCCATATAGAGAGAGAGAGAGAGAGAGACGCAGAACAGTGTGGAGTGCAATAACAGGGAGAGGCAGATTAGTGCGAGTGGCAGGGCGCAGAGAGCGCAGATCGGACAGAGAGAGAGAGAGAGATAGTGCTTCAAAGCTTTTCTTATCAGCAGCCGCAATCAATGCCAAAGCGTGACTAAAACTGATTTCAATGCTTACAAAAAAGTATTTTATTTGGTAACCAATTTAATTAGCAAGAACATAATTTCCACCTCTTCCACACCGCACTCTCTCGCTCCCCCTCACTCACTCACTCTCTCTCTCTCTCTCTCTGTATAGTAACCGAAAGCCTTGCAGCTGCAGCAGCTACCAACCTCATCCATAATGCCTGAGCTACCGGAGCTATCAATATCAATATACTCATCCATCTCCGGACACTGCGTACCCCGCACCCCGCAGAACTTCCTTGGCAGGGCAGGAATCCTTGCAGCCACAGGCGACACTGGCGAGACGCAGATGTCGTGGCTCAAAATCAAAGTGCAAACTACGTTCTCAAACAACTAATTGGATTAACTTGGCTAAAAAAAAAAAGAGTGGGGACGGGGGTACGAGTAGGAGCCAGAATGTCGCCAGTGGAAACTTTGTCTTTGGTTATTCCGTCAACTCCAATCCCCTTAGCAACCAACCCAGTCCCAGTCCCAGCACCACACCCCCCCTCGTAACACATGAGCTTTCCTTTCGTCACATGCTCCTGTGAGGTGGGGGTAGGCGGGAGGGAAGACTGACAGTCTTCGTATCTGCGCTGCTCAAACCTAAAAACTGCAAAATGTACACAAAATTTAATTAAAAAAGGATTTTCGGGCTGGAAAGTTGCTTGGCTTCTTCGCTGACTTGGCCTCTTTCGAGGCGGTTCTCTTTTTTTTTCCACAAAGAAAATAATATTTCTTCTCCCACACACACACACACATACATCCATATCTCTCTCTCTCTCTCTCTTGCTCTTTCTTTCTGCTTTTCTTTGGCACTTTCTGCTAACGCATAAGAAAATTCAATTTATAGTTTGTGGTGTGTGTGTGTGTGTGCGGATATGGCGGGCCTGGCAAATTGCCAAAGACAGACAATGCTATTAATTAATTTAGAAACCATTTTCCAAGGAGCAGGAAGGCGGTAACAATTAAAACGGAACCGGTTAAAGTGTCCATAGGGGGCTGAGGGGGGCACAAAAAGCAAATGCCATGTACGGTCCGAGTATCCTGCGTCTGTCTGTGTGGCTTTCCCGAAAGTTTCCCCAGAGTTGATGTGCATGATATGTGGGAAAATATATGGGGGAAAACATGCTGTGGCATTTCGGATAGTTATCTGCCATTCCCCCCGCTTTTAGGGGTTATTAAAACCATTTTCATGTTTGTTTTATGTTTTATGCTTTTCCAACATGTTTTGTCATCGTTCGTGTTAGTTTTGTTTTTTTGTTTTTTGTTTGTTGCATGTTTTTCAAATAATTTATTAATATGCCTGCTGCCCTTTTCTGGTACAACACACAAATGATTTAACATCCTGATGGTTGCCGCTGTGTATTGCCATTTTTTCATTGAATCTTTTTAATTGTTGTTATCAAAATGGATTGCGCAGTATAAATTGAATAACAAATGCAGCAGCGTGTCGTTTTTTTTTGTATAACAATAATTTGATAAAAGAGTAAATATCAGAGACGTGGCTGTCGTTTGCTTTATTTATGGGATTATTGCGAAAACTCTGAACATAAAAGCAATGTTTGGAGACCAAAAAAAAAGCGAGTTTTTAGCTGGAAATTTTGCATATTTGTTTTACAGTTTTTCTCTTTCTATATATGTATATAATTTTATATTTATTTTTTTATTTATTAAAATCTACCGCAGCAAAGTTCCTTTTCTATGCTTTAACAACCGTTAGTTTATTTTCTAATTCTATTTCTATTTTGTATTTTTTTTATTGTATTGGTTTTCCGATGTCAAAACCATTTCCAAGCAACATATTTCTTTACTTCTTTTCCATAAGCTTTTCCATAAACTGCAGCCTCGAAGAGGTTGGGCAGCTCGACAAACTTTTAAATATTAATTGAGTCATGAGGTGTTAAACTTGTCTTTTCTTTAGTCCTTTCTCTCTTTGTCCCCTGCAGCGAGGGGACTTGCACATAATCAAATCCTTTCTAAACAACTTTTAACTCTCAACGTTTTTTTTTTATCAGGTTAAAGGACTTTTACAAGAAGTTGCTTTTTGTATAGCTTTTTGTTTTCAATCAATGCCTTCTCTTCAAGCCTTTTTCTGCTGCTCATTTTTCTTGGTTAAACGAAAACTTTAGCAGCTATTCCATGACTTTCCGAAACCGTTTTCTAATTGTCATCCTCATCTTCTGCATCCCGCTGGTGTAAGTGCAAGTATTCGAACAGACAGAAGAAAAGTAATGAGAGAAAAGATTGTGGGGAAAAATGTGAAAAAAAAGAGTGGGCGAAAAGTGTGTGGTGCGGGTGGGGTTGTGAGCGTGGGTGGGGTGCAAATGGAGTTGTCATTATTTATTATGTTGCTCAAGTCTTTCATTAGTACGGTGGCATTTTTCTGTGTCTTCTTTTTTCCATTTGTTGCCAAAAGAAGAAAATGATAATGAGGGGCCGGAATGCGAGAAAGAATTCTCTTATCAACCTCATTGAGGATGTTGTCACATTCCTTTTTCCGCTTATTTACAGTTATTTGGTTGCTCATTTTCCGCAACAGTCAGGACCCCCTGCAGGACCACCTTCAAAGGATTAAAAAAGCGAAAGGGAAAGTGGCGGCAGGCGTCGTTTGTCTGTCTGTGAGGCAGGCGCCATGAATGTAAAAAGTGTAATTCCCATCATTATATGGGGTCCCTCCTTTTCTGCCCGATTGACCTTGGCTTCCAGATCCCCAACTGATTTCAGGGCATAATTACAGATCAGGGCACCGCCCCCTATCCCAAACCCCCAAGTGATTTTTCTGTGTTATTTCAGTAACCAAAAACCCGCGCAACTTTATTCGTTCAGTCGCTAAGCAAATGTTGTAAACATCAGTGGATATGCCCCAGCGGAGTGGCTGAGAGACGCTTGGGTAAACAATATTTTGTGGGGGGGGCCAGTGATGAATGGCAAGTGTAGGGTCAATTGCTGTGAACCCGGAGCCCAGTGTATGCCTTATAGCTCCTGCCATCCCCATGCAGCATTCGCCAAGGCATCGCTGACATTTAACGCAAAACGACGCGAGCCTGTCAATGCCAATGTCCTGGATGGCACAGGGCGTGCTGGCACAGTGACGGAATGTTTATGCGAATGCTTGGGCACAAAAACATACGTGACGTGCCTCAGTCTGGTGGCCCCCGATCCATGGCTCTGTCTTTGCCTCTATCTCTGGCTCTATTCCTGGCTCTTTCTCTATCTCTGGCCTTATTTCTGGCTCTTTCTCTGTCCCTGGCTTCTCCTATTTCTGGCTCTGTCTCTATCTCTGGCTCCTTCTATTCCTGGCTTCAACTAAGGCCCTGGGCCTGCCCCGCCCCGCCCCACGCTATTTTTGTGTGCTGCTTAAGCGGCGGAAGCAACTGACAGCTGAAGGAATGGCAACAAGGAAAGCGAAGCTCTGGCATCGAGACGAGTCGAAATCCCTGAGCTGGAAAAATGCCTTCAACTTCAGCCAGCCCGTGACAGTTTGCCACCGCCGCTGGCTGCTACGTTACGTCAAACTTCTACTCATATTTTCCCAATGCGTTGACGGCTGGCTGTGTGGGTGTGTAATTAGGATATAATGAAATATCTATGCATGACATTCGATATGCGCCAAGGCTGCTGTTCTTCTTTGGGTTTAATTACAAGTGTTTAAGCTGCAGTTAGAAGCAAAATGTTGGCCAGGAAAGACATATTAAGTACTTCCTTATGGCAGTTTAAGTTTCAATTAATTATTTGCTGCCTCAGGTGGAAATTTAAGGGACATTAAATCAATTTCAATTAGTATATTAGTTGCACAGGCAGGAGAAATATCCAGGGCATTTTAAAAAGCAAATTCGTTAAACTTTTAAG